GGTTTATGTCGGGTCGGTTTGGTTACATGTCGGGACGGTTTGGGTAGATGTCGGGTCGGTCAAATATACTAAACGAAAGCCAACCCGACAAAAATCAGGTTCGGTTCAATACTATAGTTGAGGAACATCAATACTATAAACATACCTATTTTGAGCCATTACTGAACTCAACGGCAATTGAACCTGGACACAACCAACACCGATGAGCCCCATTTCATCAAAACCCATGGAAACAAAGCACAAATCCAAATACGAATAAATTCTAAGAATATGGAGTGCCTGATGAATAAAACAAGCAAGACCAAATCAAGAAGCTCCATACCTTTATTGTTTTGCTGTGCACACCTCCTTCCCGTCACAAACCCTAGTTCCCAAAGTCAGAGCTGCTGTAAATTTGAAGAAGAGAACGAAGACGAGTGCTTGAAGAAGAAGAGGACGGAGGGTACAATTGGAATTTCAGATCCAATTAATAAAGAACGAATCGGAGTGGCTGTAACTAACTGTGGGTTTGACGGATTGTACCCACTTAATACTGGATAACAAGAGGGATCCCGTAGTACATTTCTAAATTTAATGGGACCTGTAGTTATATTCCGAAAATATAAGGTATCTGTGAGTGATTTTTTGAATCCTCTTCTTCATTCGCGTCAATGGCTGACGCCGGCCGCACATCGACCGTCGACACCAACAAGCTGGTGGCCATGTGCCTGGCACGCGCCGGCGTTGACCGGATGTTCGGCGTGGTTGGGATTCCCGTCACTTCCTTAGCCAACCAGGCGGTTGCTCTCGGTATCCGGTTCATCGCCTTCCACAACGAGCAGTCCGCCGGCTATGCCGCCTCCGCTTACGGCTACCTCACCGGCCGACCCGGGATTCTTCTCACCGTATCCGGACCTGGATGCGTCCACGGCCTCGCCGGCCTCTCCAACGCGTCCGTCAATACCTGGCCCCTGGTCATGATTTCCGGCTCCTGCGATCAGAGAGATTTCGGCCGCGGCGACTTCCAAGAGCTTGACCAAATTGAAGCCGTCAAACCCTTCTCCAAATTCTCTGCTAAAGCCACTGATATCACCAGAGTCCCTGGTTGTGTTTTCAATGTTCTGGATTGGGCTGTAGCAGGTCGACCCGGCGGGTGTTACTTAGATCTTCCCTCTGATGTGCTCCACCAGAGCATTAGCGAGTCCGAGGCTCAGAGACTGATTGCTGAAGCTGAGATTTCACGGAACAACAGGGAGGCTCTGATTGAAAAACCAATCCTTAAGGATTCTGAGGTTGGAAAGGCAGTGGCATTGTTGAGACAAGCTGAGAGGCCATTGATTGTGTTTGGAAAGGGGGCTGCCATGTCCAGGGCAGAGTTTGCTTTGAAAACCTTGGTGGAGAGCACAGGGATCCCATTCTTGCCCACTCCCATGGGAAAGGGTTTATTGCCCGACAATCATGAGCTGGCAGCCACAGCTGCAAGGTCTCTGGCGATTGGAAAATGCGACGTGGCTTTGGTGGTTGGTGCCCGGCTCAACTGGTTGTTGCATTTTGGGGAGCCCCCAAAATGGTCAAAGGAAGTTAAGTTCATATTGGTTGATGTATCAAAGGATGAGATCGAGCTGAGAAAGCCATGGCTGGGGTTGGTTGGAGATGCCACTAAGGTTTTGGAAATGATAAACAAGGAGATTAAAGATGATCCCTTTTGTTTGGGCAAAACTCACCCTTGGATTGAGGCATTGTCTAAGAAAACTAAGGAAAATGTGGCGAAGATGGAGGCACAACTAGCGAAGGATGTTGTTCCGTTTAATTTCATGACTCCAATGAGGATTATTAGAGATGCAATCTTGGGATTGGGTAGTCCTGCACCAATATTGGTGTCCGAAGGAGCGAATACAATGGATGTTGGGAGATCAGTGTTGGTACAGACTGAGCCGAGGACCCGTTTGGATGCAGGGACTTGGGGAACAATGGGGGTTGGTCTTGGATATTGCATTGCTGCTGCAGTGGCCTCTCCTGATAGGCTTGTTGTAGCTGTCGAAGGGGACTCTGGATTTGGGTTCAGTGCTATGGAAGTTGAGGTAGTATGTTTTATTTGTTTCGATATTATTCTTTATCGCATCTCCTAGTTTTTGTCACGAATATTGGACTATCTTACAAATTGACAAATATGAATATAGGATAGTCACACCTAGCATTGTTGTAGGTTCTTAAGGGTATGTTTGGATGTAGGGTTTTGGAGGGGAAGGGTTTGAAGGGCTTAGTCTATATCTTGAAAAATGAAATGTTTCTAAAAGCAGAGAAAATGTGATTGTGGTAGTGTATGATCACATATTATGTTATTCATTTGTTTTTTATAAATTATAATAGTATAAATATTTATCAAGATATAGACTTAGCCCTCCTCTCCAAAGGCCAACTCACAGGCTGGCCGTAAGAGATGTTATGTATAGATTATAGAATCAGAAGAACATACTGCACGCATAGGCAATGCAATTTTAAAATGACAATTTCATCCTCAAAATGTCATCCACATTGCAAACCATGGATGGGAACTTAGCATTTTTTTCTGCATTCATAAATTGCAGGGTAGTTACAGTTATTTTTTCATAATCGCACGTATGTGTATTTTATATTGTCCACAGCCTCAAACCAACATTTATGTTTTGAATGGCTTCCATACATTGCATAAATTTTAACAGAATAGATTAATGAGGAAGCTCAAATGTTTCTCTTTATCTTTTCGTTTTAAATTTTATTTTCTATTATGGCCAATCTACTTTTTTTTGCTTTCCGTATATCCGGAGCCTTATATGCCAATGATGTGCACTTAATTATTCATCTATTAGTCCAAAAACAAATTACTCGTCTTTTAGTGTTTAGCACGCTTTGAATAAATCTCATTACCCAACTCTAAAAAGGGAATTTCCTCTGTAACTTTTTCTGTGCCTCTCATACGACTTTTCTTATGGGTAAAATAAACTGTGGACGTGCAGACATTGGTTCGGTATCAGCTGCCGGTAGTGGTTATAGTCTTCAACAACGGCGGTGTATATGGTGGCGACCGGAGGAACCCAGAAGAGATAAGTGGACCCTACAAGGAGGATCCAGCGCCCACTTCTTTTGTCCCAGGTGCTGCATATCATGTCCTAATTGAAGCCTTTGGGGGAAAGGGGTACCTTGTCAGAACCCCAGATGAGCTGAAATCAGCACTTTCTGAATCATTCTCTGCTAGGAAACCCTCTGTTATCAATGTCACGATAGATCCCTATGCCGGTTCTGAAAGTGGGAGATTGCAACACAAGAACTGAGTTATTATTGAGGGCATCCCATTTCAGGTCCATTTACAATTTGCTTGGAAAGATTGTCTTTTTTTCTGTTTGAAACATTGCTGATGAATGTTGTAAAAAAAAAATCGGGCTAGGCTGCGGCCACGATTGTCACCTAGGCCACCTCCAGTTTAGAGGGAGTCTACTTTCTACTCTTATTTTAACAACGAATAATACAACCAGAAGACATTGTTTTTCCCTGTACCCTCAAGAATTTTCAAGTTATTTGGAATAGAGATACAGAGTACATATTTTCTATTGTAAATATGTCCCATTTGTTTCCAGGGGGGGAAAACTTCCTTAGAAAATGCTATCTGTCTCTTTCCCTTGTCACACGAAAACATTAAAATCAGTTGTTCTCACCTTCCATAATGTCTCTGTATTGTAATGCATTCACATGAGTAGGGCTGGATGCGGTTTGGATATAATTCTGAAATCGGGGATTCGGGTTCCCATGGGGCAGATTCAGAACTGAGTAGGGATGATTTTGAACGTCTTCGATTTCGGAATGATTTTTTTTTTCCTTCAAAAAAGGTGTAACTTATTTGGGTATAAATA